GAGCTCACATGGCCCACCCCAAGTATTTATCTCCTCCCCCAGCATGCACCACTGGCTATCGTTCAACAGTGATTGGCTGGAGAAGGATATCTAATGATAGCAATCCCATTGGTTGCTCTGTTCTATCACCAGGGCAGACCCTTCAGTACCTCTGGCAGCAGACAGATGGCAAGCAATGATAGATTGTTTAGAGGGAAAACCATATGAACCAAAACTACAAATTAGTGTCAGACCACATAAAGTCTGATGAACACTACATTTAATAGCACCCTTTCAGTAGGGCCCTACACATACAATATGTCATCACAATGTATTGTAATACCATCAAAGAATGTGCTTTGGCTGGGCAATTCTCCAAAACAACAAGCAATGTTCAGTTATATACTCCATCGCAAGGCATCCATTATCTGTCTGCAGGAAACTCATTTGACCAAAACTTTTTGAAAACAAATTGAACAACATTTTTGCCAACAATATTTTCACTCCTTTTACTACTCATATAGTAACATAGTATTTGAGGTTGAATAAAGACACATGTCCATCAAGTCCAACCTATTGTGTGTGTGTGTGTGTGTGTGTGTGTATAGATCCCTGAGTCATCTCGTTATTAGGAGTACTTGTACCCCTGTATATTACCGTTTCTCAGGAAATCGTCCAAAAGCTTCTTGAACGATTCCACACTATTCGCTGAAATCACTGCTTGTGGCAACGAGTTCCAGACCCTAACCGCTCGAACTGAGAAGAACCCCCTTCGCCCCTTGTGTTTGAATTTTTTTTCTACCAGTTTCAGGTGGTGGCCTCTAGTCTTTGTTACGGAATTAATCCTAAAGAGTTTGTTGCTAATGTCGCTATGACTATAGAACATTTTGTACATGAAAATCATGTCCCCCCTTAATCTCCTTAATTCCAGCGTGAACATATTTAAATTTAGTAACCGTGTCTCATAGCTCTTAATATGCTAGAAGAGTCTCTGTTATGAATCATAATAATATTTTTTCTTGCTTACAGGATAGAATGGATATCTATATTGTTCCCACTTATTCTGGGGGGGCTTTTAGATAGTTTGTCAAATTTATGACCAATAAGCGTCCTATTCCTGTCATTGTTGTGAGGGACTTTAACAATATACACTGAGTGGCCAGATTATTATGACCACCTGACGTATGTATGCAAATTAGCTATAGTTAGCTATAATTTCGCGCTGAAGTTGCTAGAGGGCCAGACCATTATAAATAGGGAAGCAGGTTGTTTACCATGACAGTAGAAGTGATTTTTTTCTTAAGATATGGGTAAACAACGCAATTTAACAGCCTTTGAACGTGGGAACGTTACACCTGTTCATGCGTTTACATCTATGCGTACTGCACATAAATGTGGCCTACATTCCTAATAAATATCCCCTCAATAGGTCCCCCAAATTTAAACATATATCTTTTCCCCAAATCATCCCCGTTTTTGGCTGTGCATAGGGACGAGGTTGTCCTTTTACCCAAGGTGGTTTCTGACTTTCACCTTAATGAGGACATTGTTCCTCCTTCTTTGTCCAAAACCTGTGCATCTCAAAGAAAAGGCATTGTGCATTGTCTGGATGTTGCTCAAGCACTTAGGACTGATTTGGATGCTACAGCATCTGTCTGTAAGACAGATTCCCTTTTAGTGGTCACTGATGGTGTTGGGAAAGGTCAAGCTGCGCCTTCCGCTACCATTTCGCGCTGGATTAATAATACTGTTATTGAGGCATATGATTGGGGGTGGGGGGGCATGAACCGCCTTTTCCCACAGGGCTCATTCCACTGGGCAGTCAACAAATATACATTGCCCAGTAAAGTATTTCTTTATCTTTTTGGCCAAGCATTTACATTCACAATGTTTACAAACAGCTGGCCTGAACTTCCTGTTGAGTATAAGATCACACAGGACAGCACAGTCTGCAGGAGTTATTAAACTACTAGCTTGGGGAAGGAAGGAAGAAAGGAAGCAGAATAGTGGCTTGCCTTGCTGTGCTTGTGAAGACACATACAGCTTATTAGTAGGGATGGGCTCGATGTTCGAGCCGAACGCGAGTTCGACTTGAAGATCCGCAGTGCGCGTGTTCGGCGAACACATGAACTGTCAGGGCGTTTGGCAGGCTGTTTGCCTGCCGAGCGCCCAGCACTAGGCACTGTGTCTTGTGAGCCCTGATTAGCAAGACTTTACCCAGAGAACTGTGAGAGCCATAATTGGGCAAAGTCATGATGACTCTGCCCAATCATGACTCACCCGTTACAACTGTAAACAGTTGAGCGGAGCTAGCTGTCACTGCTAGCTCCACCCAATTGTTTATAAGTTGCCGGCATCTGTCAAAATGCCATTCTGCAGTGGATGTTTGTTGCAGCGGATGGGACAGCGGTCGTAGGTTTTTTTTTCTATTTATTTCTTGTTGTTTTATTTTTTATTTCATCAAGTCATTGTCGTCGTGGACAATGCTGGACGTGGTGATTGACGCTGGATTACTTCGGTGGATCCATTTTATTTTATTTTTTTAATAAAAGACTTGTCAAAAACATGTCTTTTTGGTTCATTTCAAATAAAGGATTTTTTTAAAAGTGTGGCCTCTTTTTTAAAACTTTTATTTAACCCTTTAGTGAAGGGGTAGGGGTACAAGTACCCCTCATTCACAAGGGGGGCCGCATCTCGGTGCCTCTTTATTAAAGGGGTAGACTTGCATAGACTTGCATTGCGTTTGAGTTCGAATTCAAACTTTTCACATGTTCGAAAGTTCGAAGTCAAACCAAACACGGGGGTGTTCGGGCCATCACTACTTATTAGCACACATAACAGTGGTTTCATGGGACTCTGCAAGGGAAAGAAAAAAACCCTAAAATAGGATATCCGGGCCAGTGCTCAGGGGACCAGCTGATTTTGCATGAAGCTAAATATTTTAAATATCAAGAAGCTGCATCTATTGTAAGTGATTTATTCAGCATTTAAAATTGCATAAAAAACTTTTCACTTTAGTATTAATTTAATGTCTACAACAAGATCATGCTGTTATTTGCACCTTATTCTGCTAGTGGATTACAAGTACTGTAAACTTTGAAACACAAGCAGCTTAGCTCCATGGTCACAGAATATGTTCTAAGCATGATAAATTGCATTAAAGGGTTTCTAAACCCTCCATGTTGTTTTTTGCCTAGGCTAGAGAGCAATAGATATAGGCAAAAAGTTTTAAAAAGTTATAAAAAACGCTTTAACAGCAGTTTAAACTTACCCTGTTTTCGCCACGCGCTCCCGCCCGAGAATCCAAAACTGCTCAGGCAGCCGCAAAGCATCTTGGGGCGGGCACATGCGCAGTTCGGATTTTCGGCCGGGAGACGAGCAGAGACGCAAGGTAAGTCTATGGACGCGTGCACCCACATCCAGACACCGTGGGATCAGAAGTGCCAGCAAGCAGAGAGGAGTCAGCGCTTGATCTGACAGCCGCCACACCGCTGGAGGGACAGATGAAAACATCAGGAAAGAAGAGGAAGATCGGATTAAGAAACCTCATTTAAGGTAAGTGCTGAGGTAAGTGTTGACATTAGGTAAGGTAAGTGCTGACATTAACATTGGGGGGAGGGAAAACAAATTTTGACTTTAATGTCACTTTAAGTACCCTTCAGCAACACAGTACCAGATAACCACCTAGACCAGCGGTTCTCACCCTGTGGGTCGCGACCCCGTTGGGGGTCGAATGACCCCGTTGGGGGTCGAAAGTAAACATTTCTCTGCTCTGTTTTTTTTTTCTGACATCGGGGCCGCAGGCAAACTAGCAAACTAGCTATTGCCCCCACTCTCTGCTGCTGCCAATCAGCAGAGGGGGACCTGAAGTTCCCCATCAGGTCCCTTTCTAGTGATTGACAGCAGCAGAGGGCGGGTGCAATAGCTAGTGTGCTATTGCAAAGTGAAATAGCCAATAGGAATCAAGTCCTCCAGCATAGTAGAGTGTGGAGGGAGGAGTACAGACTGGAGAAGTGTTGTGGGACCAGGGGTGCCCTCTTACCTGGGGTCCGGCGGGTGCGACAGAGATCGTAGGGTCCTTCTTGGGGTGAATTGGTGCCCGCAGGTGTGCACATGAGCGCATGCATGACATGCGTGCGTGACGTGCACATGTGGCACTGCCGTGGCTTCTTAGCTGCTTCATGTGCTGGTCATTGCCGGAGAGGGCCTTGCGAGCACTCCTCTCCCAGCCATCCCATTGGTTCGCAGGGACCTGTGGCTTCCTGGTTGCCCAGCCAATGGGGGCGTCGCTTGCCCCTGCTGGGTTTAAATTCCAGCCAGAGCCAAGACTTGTTGCTGAGTTATTCTGCCATTCCCAAAGCAGCTACAATGCCTCATTTCCTGTTTCCTGCCTCCCTTCCCTGCTATTCAGATCTCCTGGTTATTGACCCCTGGCTTGCCTCACCGTTTATGATACTCGCTGCCTGCCTCAACGCATTTTGGATGATCCTTTCTTGTACCTCAGCCTGGACTCTCCTTCTGGGATTGTTCCCTGCTATTGGGTTCCAATCCAGCAAACAGGGGGACTTCGCTCCTTCCCTAACAAGAAGGGGAAGTAAGTATATCTTATCAGGTGTAACTCTCACGGGTTACACTGAACTCTATAGGCTGCTCTGTCAGTAACAGTACTGCAGAGTATGTACCTGATATGTTATATAGCCACACTTTAAATCCAATTCTTCTAGTTCCAGGTGCAGAGCCCGGTCCTGTCTTTGCCTATAGCAGTGGTTCTCAACCTGTGGGTCGCTGTGTGATTTCTGCTGTGCTAGGTGAGAGTCCTCCTTAGCCCTCTCCTAGCGCAGCAGTGTCAGTTCTCCCACCACGCCGCCAGATGTCGCTGTACCTGCCGCGTCATCCCTAAATTTTACCGTTGGGGGGTCACCACAACATGGCAAATGTTACCAAGGGGTTCCGGTCATAGAAAGGTTGAGAACCACAGACCTAAACCCTAATAATCTAGACATTAAGGTGTTGAAACTTACTTGTAGATGTAGGTTTCTGATTAAACAGGTAATTCCAAAGATGATGAGGATGAGATTTGTTAACACAAAGGCTCTGATAGCATTGGTAACTTTTTGAACCATCTTGAACCTTGAGAGAAGAGAAAGCAAATATTAGTTTTCTGTGGGTTAATTTTGACTTTCTTTGCTCAATATATTTTAAATGTATTGAGCATTTGGGAGATACAGTCAATACTATCCTTTTGAAAGAACTTTAATATTCAAAGCTAGCTTAATATAATAGTAGAGGCTTACATTACATATAAATATACCTACGGTATATTAAACCCGCATCTCCCATTAGTTAGCTTTATTTTCTCAATCTGGGACTGATTTTTTTTCCAGGGTTTTTTTGTTGATAAGAAATGTAAACAACTGGAGTTTTTAACTATTTAAGTCTGTTCTGTACACTAAAAAGGTTGGAAATATGTATGGCATCAGGCAGTTAACAGAGCAGTAGCAGTCAGCTAAGATTGGGCTCACTGAGGTGATTTTTAGCACAATGGTGTGACTATAAACACTAGCAGTAGCTTCCTTTAGAACACATATGGCAAGTAATGGACGCAATCTTATGGGCAATTTTAGTAGCACAATCAAGCTACTAATGGCAAGGTAGTAACACAATGCTCCAAATTAGTCACAGCACTAGCCATCATGCCATTTTTGTAGGGAATGCATTTCAGTAGAGCAAAGCAATTTATCGCAAGCTGTATATTTAATCACTTTCTATTGATTTTAAGATGGGAACCTCTACAGACAAAATTATTGTGCAAAAAAGGATATTCCTGGTGGCCAAATGAATGCAAGAGCTAGCACATGGGCATTTTTTGTTTAATTGAAATGTTTTTTTGTGACTGGATACAGATGGTGCTGAAGAAAAAACTATGTGACTGCTATTGTCTTGGGCTGAAGAAGCAAGAAAAGCTGAACTGAATTGGTCACACAGCTGTAAAAAGGAAGAAATATATTTTTTTACACAGCTAATGGAGTTTATGCATAGACTGATGGCACCGGAAGAGTGAGTATAAATTCTGTCACTCCATGCATTTTCCCCTGTTGAAAAGTACCCTTCTTATTTACATCATGACTTCAAGTAATATTGCCCATATACTGTAGATACTGTTGTCTCAGGATCAGACGAAGACTCCATTTTAGGTGTTAGCCCTAGGCTCCCACAGGACTGCAACAGAGATTCTAAATTTTAGAAAAAAGATGGTGTCTGCGCTTTCCCCGAAGAAAAAAGATCCTTTAGGTACAAAGATTTGACTAAAGATTAAAATATAAATTATTGTTGTAATTTGCATCTAAATGAAACAAGGTCTGAAAGCTTTGCCACAGCCACCAATGATAGCACCAATAAATACTCTCAGCTAACCCACTCACCTGCAATATTATATCATATTGTGGATGAGCAGGTTAGCTGAGTCATTTATGACTGTTATTACACCACATCCAGTCCCTCTTGGGGACTTCATGCAGGGATGAGAACCTTGCCCTCATCAACATGGGGACAGGTGCCTTGATGACGGGATAGGCTTTTCTGTCCCTATTGGTAATATTGCTTAAAGTGGACCTTTACCCATATCTCTAAAATAAAACCAAACACACCTTTAGAAATGTTTAGTAATGACGATCTACAAACACATACTTCTAGATAATTTCCGGCTTTGTATTCTTTCAATACCTTATTTGTATTTTCTTCCCCAGTCTTCTGACAGTGGCCACGTTTACTAGGGGCAGATTACTAGCTCTCCGTTTACTTCCTTGATTTCTGGCACATGTGACTAGACATGTGACTAGGACATGTGACCATGCACATCATCTCAAGGGATGAAAATGCCGTTCCCTGAGATCTCATGAGATTAAAGATGAGATGACAAGGCAATCCCTGACATGACTATGTTATCATTAATCATAATACATAGAGGGATACATTGGTAGAATTTGATTTTTTAGTGTAAAGGCCTGCTTTAAAGGGGGGGGGGGTGCATACTTGCTGCCCCTGCCTTTCCTGGTCAGCCAGGTGGCATGCCTGGATAAAGTTCTGGTATAGAACTTTTTAAATATTTTTTTTCCTCAGAGCATGTGGCTGATATGGTTTAGAAGTTGCTGGGGCTGCATGCTTGCTGACACCCTCTCCTCCCTTGCTGGGATCCATGCCTGGATAGCATGGGGGTCCTCCCACAACCCATACCAGACCCTAATTCGGGCATGAAGCCTGGCTGGCCAAGAAGAGGAGGGGCAGCAAGCAGGTACCTATCCCTCCTTAACCAAACCAGGCTACATGTCCTCAACAGAAGGAGGGTTCAGTGTGCTGTCAGTTAGCTCTTACCCTTCATCTTCATGTTCTTTCATCTTCCAATCCATGACAAAGCCAATGAAAGGACAGGTAAATAGACACAAGAGCTGAAGGACTCCAAAAACAGATGAATATAAACCCACTGGAAAACAAATAAAACCTATTTAATACATTATTCAGTTGTGTGACACGAAAGAGATTAAATTGATGCAGCTACGAGTCATGTTTATGCTTTTGTATCTGACACCATTGTTGAAATAATTCTGTACTACACAGCCTGGCTAGTGGGCCCTGAAACAGGTAAGCACTCTTCACTATACCTATCTTGGTCCATAGTACTATGTTTGGTGTGGATGCTTCAATTATGAAAAGATCTGAGAAGCCAGCTTAATTAGTAAAATACCAGTGCAGACTTAAAGGAGAACTATGAGGTGAGTGCTTTTCACTCACCTCATAGTTCTAGCCGACCTGTGACAATGAGACTGTCACAGGTCGGCTCAGTAGATCGGGAGGTGAGCGAACACATACCGGCGTTCGCTCACCTCTCGATCTTGTCACGGCTCTCTGCCGTGACAGGGGAGGGACTAGATTCCCCGCTCCGATCCGCCAGCGCTGACTGGCGGAACGGACGGGGGAGGGGGCGGGTACAGCTGGCTCTGCCTCTAGATAGGCAGAGCCAGCTGTCAGTCACGCAGCTGGGTGGATCCCGGCACAATTGTCGGGATCCGCTTCAGCTGCGGCATCTCAGTATACCGCGAGGTACAGCTCGCGGTATACTGAGCCTAGGGTGACGGGAGGACGCTAGTTTGTGTCCTCCCGTTACCCTAAGGAGAGGAAAGCCTTAACCCCATAGTTCTCCTTTTAAAGTATATTTCCACTTCTGCAGTCAAATTTCAGAAAAATTCCACTATATGTTTTATGTGTTCCCACTCACATAGCATAACTAAAAATATTTTTGTATAAATATTTCTAACTTTTTACATTTTCTTGGGTGAAGGCCTTTGTTTAGATTGTAGGCTACTCTAAGCAGTGTAAAAGTAAATAGAGAGAAAGACCTGAGCTTCTTCTCATTAATATGCAATGCCTCTAAGTCTTTAACCCTTTGTTAGGATAGACAGTGTTCAAATCTCGTTTACATGTAGGATAGGTGCAGTACGGCCAATGGAAACTAGATGCCCCCATGGGACCCTGGAGATAGATGTATCTCTGGCTAGGGAAGACTCTGTGTTCCAGGAGACCTAATATATAGGGGCGCCCGAGAGGGGAGGGGTGGAGAGTGTGGAAGGAGAGAAAGGGAGAACAAGAGACTGATTCTAAAGTAGGGGCTGGTCCATGGGAAGGACAGGACCAGGCCTAGGAATATGTAGAACAGTAGAGATCCCCAGTTTCCCCTGGAGGGGGAAACCACCGAGGTAGGACTGCCAAGGATGGGATTCCGGAGACTATTGAAGTGCTGTAAGACTGACCATAGGTGTTTATGGGCCTTTGGCCAACACCAGTCGTGGACTCTGGGTTGCACCTGGGCTTGAGCTCTCTGTAATATCTGTAACAAGCAAATGTCAAGAGATGTGCCGTCATCCCACTTGGGGATGGCTGAAACGTGTACTTTATGTTCTAACCATCATTCTAAGTAAAGCTAAGAAAAGACTATCTGTGTGGACTGGTTCTTCTTCCTTCAACCTCTGAGGTGGAGGGGTTCTGGAAGAGTGCGTTGATGATGGACGGTACCGTGACCATAACCACCTCAGGCAGGGTATGTGTGTAAACGGGTTATGCCCGACCTAGGGTGCCCCTCATGGTGGCCTTTCTTCCTAAGGGGGAGAAAGCGCTGAAGTCCGCATAGGCGGTGGAGATCGTGAGGACCCTGGGTGTGCCGTACTACAAGTGTTGGAGTGGTTAACACGAGGCCAGAATCGAGGCCCCTAGGAGAGGGGGTGCCTGGTGCCTGTTGCATACACGGGGTTACACCTAGTAGCCCAAAGGGATCACACGCAACACCCCGATTAACCCCGCCTACATACAGCTGATAAAATCTGCACAGTACAGACATGTTAATTAGAGTATCACATTCATCAGAGGTGTGTGTGTGTGTGTGTATGTATATTGCGAGAATTAGCTCCAAGCGGTAGTGCATTAAGGACACTTCCACTCGCTTAAGTCTGCTTTTTAGGGCTTCTTTGCCCACTTTTATTGATTCAAGCACATTTAAAGGTCCACATAGGTTTACCCTTGCAGGGATTTTTAAACAGAATATACAGACAGTACTTTGCAAAGAACACACAGATTCAGCCTCCTGGCTTTTACTTTCAGTGTCTGGCCATTTTGACCCACTGGTCCTCTGTCAGGGGTACCGGCACAGGTGTCCCCACACTGTATGCAGGTACCCACACAGGTTGACCAAACACGTATGACCACACCGGACAAGGCAGTATTTGTTTATATACAGTTTATTTGTATTACCAACAGGACTGCAACAAGCCAGAATCAGGCCTACTAACAGGTAAGGGGGCCCAAGACTGCAAACAGGGAACAGGACTGCAAAAAGGGAACAGGGTTCAGGACTGCAAAACAGGTGACAGGATTGCAAACCGGGAAAAGGGTTCAGGACTGCAAAACAGCTAACAAGACTGCAAACAGGGAACAGGGTTCAGGACTGCAAAACAGGTAACAAGACTGCAAACAGGGTTCAGGACTGCAAAACAGGTAACAAGACTGCAAACAGGGAACATGGTTCAGGACTGCAAAACAGGTAACAAGGTTCAGGACTGCAAACCGGGAACAGGGTTCAGGACTGCAAACAGGGAACAGGGTTCAGGACTGCAAACAGGGAACAAGGTTCGGGACACACAGGAAATTATAGCAGGACACTGAGCCATCATCCTGACTGCAGAGTGGGTTTAAATATCCTCCCAGGAAGCACCAGGTTATGGCTAAGTACTGGCAGCTGGGAGACACCTGCAGGTGGGCACTGGAGCTGAAGGTTCCAGCACCACCCAGTGGTGGTCTGGTACCTAACAGCTCCTGGCTTCCTGGAGACACCTGCAGGTGAGCACAGGAACTGCAGGGCTTAGCGCCAGCACCACCTGGAGGTGCTCTGGATCCTAACACTATCTTTGTCTGTTTTGTTTCTCAGACTAGTTCAAACTTTTTCTCACAGTTACACTAGTACTTTTTCTTGCCACAAAGGTGTATTGCCACAAGGCTGGTTCTCACCACACAGGTGTATTGCCACATAGGCTTTATCACACCAGCTTGCCTCGCAGGCTGGTTCCAGGGTGGAGCTCTCCTGACTCCTGCACAGAGACCTCCTCTGTGTGTAGGGATACATGATCATACATACAATGATGATCTTTGCTGAATTACATTTCTAGACTCCATTTTGTCTATGTAATATTATGCTTAATCAAACATATTATGAAATGTAGTAAATATGGTATAAGATAAGACACACTACCAGAAGTAAATGATATGACATCTAAAATGACAGGTTAAAGATATTCCACTATACAATCATATTTTATATTATATTAAAGAAAAACATACATACTATTAAATACAGTTATAGACGTTCTATACATATATGTTAACTACACATACTAAATACAGTTATAGACATCCCATACGTATATTATGCTAAACACATACACTAAATACAGTTATAGACTTTAAAACATCTTACGTATAAAACATGTTTTAACAAAGCAATATTGTTAGGCATTTTTCTATGGTTGGGCGTTAGCTGTTATCTTAAAGTGTTTGGAGAAATTGCCATTCTAGGAGTTTTTAGTTGATCTAAACAAAAACACTTGCTATGTATACGTGTGGAACAAATAATGCTGATTTAGCATGTATTTTATTAAACTGAACAATTATGTAACCTAATCATTATCTTGATGTGTAGACCTACAGCAGGGGTGCCCACAATTTACAATTTTTTGTGTTGCGATCTACTTTTCAAATGACAAGCTACATGAGATCTACCAACGAAAAAAAACCTCCCTCGCTCTCTCTCTCTCTCCCCTCGCTTTCCTGGCTGTCTCTCCTTGCTGTCTCTCCTGGCTGTCTCTCCTTCCTCATCCTCCTGGCTGTCTCTCCTCTCTCTCCTGGCTGCCATTCCTCATTTTCTCTACTGGCTGTCTCTCTCCGCTCTCTTGGCTGTCTCTCCGTGTTCTCTCCCCTGGCTGTCTCTCCTCTCTCTCTTTCCTGGCTGTCTCTCCCTGCTCTCTCGCCTGTCTGTCTCTCCCCGTTCTCTCTCCTGGCTCACCTTGTTGTATTTTGCAAACAGTGTAGTGCAACAGGCTGTGTAAACTAGTATTCTTTGATGCAATACATAGCACTTCAACCACGAGTATCCACCAGAAAGGTGTCGGGGAGATTGGCTCAGCAGACTCAGGCTAATAAGAAATGATGTGTGCACAGCTAAATAAATATACCAAAATGGAATAAAGGGGCCACCCTTCTCACCCTTCGGGATCTACCAGTATCATCTTTGAGAGCTACTGGTAGATCATGATCTACCTAATGGGCTCCCCTGACCTACAGTATACAAGCTGTATGAACTAGAGTGGGGATGGAATTGGCCTGACAGACTAAGGCCTTTCCCCACACGCGTGTGTCAAATAAATCTTTTTTTTCTGATTTGGATCTACTCACAGACTGTTGCTGCTTTGCTCTTAAAATTCCCTAATCATCTGTCTCTGAACAATAACCAGCATTCTTTTCATAAGGGCTGTGCACAATCATTTGGTGCTGGTCACCACTAAAGTCCAGACCCCAGCCAAATCCGGAAAACCTAGAAAGAACCGTAAAGCCACCTCTTTTCCGGTAAAAGTTTGTGCTTTCTGGAACTGCTCAATCCTTTTGGCTGAAAGTCCAGGGTGACTATATTGCCAAATGACACCATGGCATTGCCACGCACTGCCACAATAAACTGGGTTATGCCTTTACAAACTCTCTTTTTGAAGTGCTTCAATGTCAGTGTATACAGTAAGGGCATGGTAATAGGCCTACAGCAAGCACCAGGAATGATCATAAGTGCATTCTTTAAGCAAAATGAACCCCAGAAAACTAGTAGAAGGTGTCATCAAGAGAGCTAGTGCCATGACACAAGAAAGGCCTTCAAAAGGTTCAGAATAATAA